CGTTGGCACTCGACTTTGGCGTAACGCACTTTCGTTGCATTTGTACGAATTTACACCTAAAGAAGTTCTACTTCAATAATCTTTATTGTATTTATCTGTTTACACATTACTTGTCTACCTGCCTAACAATTTACTTGTCTTCTTACCTGTGTATCATTTTGTTAGTCTATCAGTACATCTCTGTACTTGTCTCCTAATCTACTCTTTTACCTGGTTACCTGTTCACCTGTATAACAGCATAGCTGCCTACTTGTCTGCATGTCTACGAGTTATAACATTTTTTTGCAATTACTGTAAAAAATATAAAATTATTAGATTGTAACTAAGAATTGTAAATTTTATTATAAATAGTTCATTCTTACCAAAAATATATTATATCGTGTAAAAAATAGTTTATTGTACAATTTGTGCAGTCTCTCCAATACGTTCATGAAATCAGTCCAAAAATCAGTGTAATTAGAAATTTTAAAAAATCATAAAACCATTACTAATTATTATCTAGATTCATTAAATATTATAAGTGGTTATAATGTACAGTAAAAATGAATCGTGGCGGAATATTGCTTTTATGTGGGTCCTATATGGATTATCAATATTGAATTCGATAAAATTAAACACAAAATATTTTTCTTTTATAAAAAGGGCGAGGCTTTTCATTTCAGAAAAAGAAAATCATAAATAATATTGGTTAAAACATTGTGTAATAACATGGTATAATTAAATTTCTAATCGATATTTGACTAACACATGAGTCATCAATTGGAAAATACAAGTTTCATTAAACTTGCATGCATTTTTATAGCATAATAACACCTTATAGGGTATGAATAATGTCATCGTATAATTTAAACTTTGTTATATATTTTATATGTAAAATTTTTATATAAAGGGGTTTAATATTTTTATACAACTGCAGTTGTTTCTATAAAAATAATAACATATAAGTGAAAAAATGAATTTCGCGACTTATTTTGTTAAATTCAACATTTTATGTATGAAATACATAAATAGATGTATGTCTTATTTTGTTAAATTCAACATTTTATGTATGAAATACATAAAATACACGTTTTATACAAATCTATTTATTAAATTTTTTTGAAAAATGTTTCTTAGAAAAACTTTTTTGAAAAATGTTTCTTAACTAAATTACTTATTTAAAAGAAGTTTATATACATTAATGCATTAATTTTGTTATATCCCAAACAATAATTTCACATATAAATTATTTAATAGTTATATCTTTTTTCTCAAACGCATAATCAATATTATTTAAACACTTATTTATGTAAAAATGTAATCCCATATATACGTTAAAAATAATTTTTTAAATCTTACTACTAAACCGCCAATAAATGTCTTATATGCAATTTATTAGAACCAGCAAATTCCGTAAAATAGAAAATATTTTCTTGGTTTACATTCTGCACAATGTACATAGTTTTATGGCATATAAAATTGAAATTTTTGCAAAGTAATGAAACTGTTGAATTATGAATATAAATTTTACAGAGTTATATGAAATTTGTGCATACTTTGATAAATGTATTCATAGTCATACTTAAAATTAAGTATTCTACATTTTTAGAGATTTTGTATGAAAAGTATACAGAGGTATGTAGAAACATAATAGAAATAAGATTTTTAATAGCAAGGAAGAACAATTTTATCTAGTAAGTAAAAATATTTAAAGAATCTAATTTTAGCAACTTTTCAAATTTTGGTCACAAAATTTTCATTCTTTAAATATGTTAAATTTTAATGTATTTTGATAATTAAAAACTTTTGTATAGACCTATAATATTGCAGAATGCTCAATTAGATCATGGAACTTATCATATTTTCAACGACCCGATTTGAAAGTTTGTTCAGAAAGATTTGCATTCCAAGTATTAAAATTCTACTTATTCGTGGATAAAAAAAATTTACTATAGGCACCTAAGTAAATAGCTCTATTGATTTGTTATTGCATGAACTAGTGTCTGTAATTATTTGTTTGATGGTCAATATAGAGATAAACTGAACTAAACATTTTATGTCCAAACTGCCGGAATTGAACACAATTATGATTGATATTCGCTAAATTTATTACCACATTCCACTATTAAATTTTATTGTAGTACCATTGTTACAGCAGCAAATAATAAATGGGCGATCGAAATATATTTCGTATACAATTACGTAAAGTGTTCAGCGCAATTATTTCATTCCATTAATTCATCGGACATTGCTATAAACTTTCCGGAAAGCTTAATGACCCAATAAAAATCCTCTTACATGCATACAAATTCGGTACTTAAAGTTAAGTTGATATACTTCCTTAATATTCACATAGAACATAATTTGTGAAATGGGTTTAAAGTATAAATGTGGCCTACGTGATTCTAGGTTTAAAATAAAATGACTAGTTCACTGTTTCAGCGAATCAGACCTATTTTACACAAATTTTGATTATTATTTAGCAGAAAAATAAGCTTCTATAACAACAAAAGCGGTAAATCTGCAATTATAAATTTTCTACTTAATTTTGTAAGAAAAACGCCTGAAGGTGTATCCACTACTACATATATACTTTATTGCATATAATATGCACCAAACGGATACAAATTAATCATACTTCAGAATTTCTACAATGTTCTCAATATTCAATAATAATACAAGTAAATGAATATAACGTTCGAAATTTGTAGTCGTTAAAAACCGTTAGTAATAGATACAATTGCAATTTTGTTTAATATTATAACTTAAATACATTATTTTCTTATACATTAATTTTTATGCTCATTTTTGGCTATGTTAAAAATATATTAATATTTTACAACCTTATTAATACACTTATTAAAAATATTAAATTCAGCCTATTTATATGTGAAGGTTTTCTTGTAATTGTTTTCTTGTAAAATTCTATAAACTATAGTTAAAAGCGACATTTTGTCATAAGGCAAGTCGCATAAACTTCCCGATATGCGCATTTTGTATTATTATTGACTTGAACATCCGAAATTGTATTTAGATATTTTGGATCACATTTTCGACTGTTTATGTAAAAAATATTGCTTCCAAAATAATGCTTTCAATGAATACTAAACATTGCAATTTGCAATTGATATCTCTCAAACATATTTAAATTAACTGTAATTCAATTAATTATAGTGCAGACACTTGCTTGTATGTCTTAAAATTGTATTATTTCAAATTTCAATTGATTTATATATATTAACCAATTTTTGTAGTTCATATAAATTAACCAATTTTAGTACAGTGTAGTGTTAAATTTCACTAAGAACGTCGAAACATTTTTTTTTAAACTTAATGAATTATTATGCGAATATGTCACGATAGTGATCATCATATTTTTTCAAATTTTGATGAATTTTTAAAATTAAAGGATTTGTCGTACGGCCGTAATATTTTAGTATGTTTTTTAGAACCATGATATCAATCAACAGAAAAAGTTTTACAAAAAAAATTTCAACAGGTAATTACTAAGAAACGGCTCGGCTGATCATTGTCCGAACAGTTTAAAAACGTCTATGAATAGAATAATTTTAATAAACGTCAAAAAAAAACTAGTAATTTTTTCAAAATTTAATGAATTTTTAAAATTATACGACTTGTCATGTACCGTAATACTTCAGTATGTTTTTATATATAAGGCCATGTTATCTATTGCCAAAGCAAGTTTTTTGCAACAGTTTTACCAAAAACTAATTAGTATCTTTCCCAATCAATATCTTACGAACAGTTTTTAAATTTTTAAAATAGTTTCAGAGTTGCATGCTAAAACGTGGACAATTTTTTTTTCACTTTTCTGGTATTTACAAAGAAACGCTTTGTTGATCGTCGTGCAGAACTGGCAAACGCTAGTTCTTATTGAGTTACAAAAATCGGCTTTTAAATTTTTAAAATCAGCACAGCCCTTTTAAAAAAAAACGCCGAGAAAAGGTCAGCAATCGGCTCACATATACTTACATAAATATACGCACACACACATGATTCTTTCAAGTTTGGTCGCATTCGATGCAGAATGGCTTGAAACGTATAAAAAACATAAGATTACCAAATCGGATATTTTGACGAAAACAAACTTCTTCTTCGGGAAGTTGAAACTATTAGTATTCCATTAAACTTTGCATTTTAATATAAAATAATATCAGTATCGTGTCTTTAAAATGACATTAAGAATAAATAACTCAAATAAGTGCGTATAAATACTAAGAGCACAAAATCTAAAATTAAAAAAAAAATCAAGTCCCTTTTCTCTGGGACTCGATCGCGAGTGCTTTTACTGCTATTTCTTGAACCCGACTGTTTAGCGCCCTTGGCCAGCTGGAGTTGCTGCTTTAATTTTTCATAAGTAAAGTGTTGCCACAGTTGATGTCATTTCTTGATTGTGATGCCACCTTGGCCAGCTGGCGTTGCTGCTTTAATTTTTCATAAGTAAAGTGTTGCCACAGTTGATGTCATTTCTTGATTGTGATGCCACCTTGGCCAGCTGGAGTTGCTGCTTTAATTTTTCATAAGTAAAGTGTTGCCACAGTTGATGTCATTTCTTGATTGTGATGCCACCTTGGCCAGCTGGAGTTGCTGCTTTAATTTTTTATAAGTAAAGTGTTGCCACAGTTGATGTCATTTCTTGATTGTGATGCCACCTTGGCCAGCTGGCGTTGCTGCTTTAATTTTTCATAAGTAAAGTGTTGCCACAGTTGATGTCATTTCTTGATTGTGATGCCACCTTGGCCAGCTGGAGTTGCTGCTTTAATTTTTCATAAGTAAAGTGTTGCCACAGTTGATGTCATTTCTTGATTGTGATGCCACCTTGGCCAGCTGGAGTTGCTGCTTCAATTTTTCATAAGTAAAGTGTTGCCACAGTTGATGTCATTTCTTGATTGTGATGCCACCTGTTGGCAATTTTTTTTATTGCAATCAGTAGTTGCGGCGTCATCGCCTCAGTAACACCTTTGCATTCGGAAGCAACGCACAATAAGTTTTCGCGCGCTTTTTTCGCATGGCGTCATTATGTAGACTTAGTGTGTGTGAAAAAGTGTTAAGTGCAAGTAAACGATTCATTATTAACAAACACGTTGTTTGCAGTTATTAAAAGAATAAATAATAGTTCATCAAGTGGTGTTTAACTGAGTAAGTGCAAAAACAATAAACTAATAATTCAGTGTTCTTGGGCGATTGCAAAATTGCAGTGAACCGAGTAAAGGTAACACATTCTTTCAATGCCAAAACTAATTAAATTTATTTTACGTCATTCATAATTATTATTAAATATAATTTTGAAAACATTCAAAAATTTAAATTTCATTGGCCATTAGCATTTCTAACTTTTCGATAATAAGTACTTACGTCCTTGAACTATCTTAAAGCAAACAAATGCTATAATGCAATAATTTACTATTATGAATTTCTATGATTTTAAGTTATTTTCAAAGTTACGTATGACCGACAAAAAAAATTGTATTTGCTTTATTCTATAAAATCTAAAAGCATTAAGGTCCCAAAACGTCTTTGTATTGTGAACCACCGTTGGAGATGGTCTTTTACTTCTTAAGACCGCTGTTTCCAACCTGTGGGGCGCGCCTTCTCTGGGGGGCACTAGACTGTTAAAAGAAGGTTGCGTACATCTGTTTCCAAAATACTATTTTCAAAAATAAACCAAAATTTTTGAAATGATTTAAAAATATACGAAAATTATTAGTTTTTATGCATATTTTTATGTAATATTGCATATTAATTTTTAGCCTGATAACATCATTTGAGAATTTATGAAATTAAATTCTTAAATATCAGACATTTTGTTAAACATCAGACATACTTCGATAAATTATTTAGACGGTTTTTAATACTTACGGGACGACACCGATTTCAAAACAATCAACTGTGCCGGCTGTAAACTTGATTTCATTGTGTATGTTATGCAATTTGTTTGATAAAAATTTGTCGTCATTGAAGAACATACATTTACAATATTAATTCATTTTTAATCATTTTATAAAGAATGGTAACGTTTAAAACAATTTCCAAAATGCATGGCTGGTTGATTTTGACATGTTTTACAATAAAATGTTGTTGGCCGCCTTCCAGAATATGCCACTGATTAGTCAGTATATTTTTTCATTTTTGTGCTGCCATAATGGTTTGTTTTTTCTATTATATTGTCTAATAATTTATTTGTAAAATATAAAGTAAAATAATCTATTGGATGTCTTATATTGCTTGCTATTTGTAGTCGGCGCGTTTGTTGATGTATGTCAAACTCGATTGTTGAAGGAGAATCGGCACATTCGCTAATGTATTTCCGCTCTTCATATAATTTGTTCAACTTCTTCTTCCTTTTGTTGGTTCACATTTATCACTTTCTTCGGTGCGAATAGTAATTTCGTAAAATTTGTCTGTATGAATGTCTATTTGAAACTCATCTTCACTACTGCTTAATTCACAAAATTTACCAGTCGTTTTACCATATTTAAAAGCGCACGGCCGTTTTAAATATTAAAAAAAGGCTATATAGCAAAGAAAAAGGCTAAAAATACTACTAAAATAACTTAAAATTTATTTCAAAATACAACATTGTTTATCACTGCTATATGTAATTTATTCAACTTTTCGGTGCAAACTGAGTCATTGATATGAAGTAGCCTGTGCCTCACAGAATAGTTTGTCCACGTTTAGTAGTATGTATATGCCAATTTTATTGAAACTGATGGCAAAACTAGTGGTGTATGGCTTTATGCCGTAAAGCAAAATGCTGGAACTTCCTGTACCGTAATGAAATATTCAAAGAATATTAAATGTTTTCAAATATATTATTATCAGAGATATTTCAAATATATAAGTGAGTTTAAGAATTTCAGCTAAAATTAAAATTAAAATTAAAATTTGAATCATTTTCTTTATTATCGAAAAAAAAAACATTTTTTGAGAATGAAAAAAAAAATAGTCGTACATGGCATCGTGCCTTAAGGTAAATTGCTGGAATTTCCGAACTGTAATTTAAAATACTTATATTATTTGAAAAAGTAGATTTTTTTGCAAACTAAATTTTTTTGAATTTCTTTTCTGAAAATTTTGAACAATTTGAAATTTGTTCAAAGTTTTTGATCGGTTGATTCAAATTACAAAATATCTGATGTTCGAACGCCAAATGGCATTATTTTATTAACTTTCTTTCTGGATCTTCGAAACCACTGGAAAACTTATTTAATACTTCATTACGTCAATACAAGTGTAATGTTTTTTTATTCATTCAAATCGGATGCTCCATTCCCTCAAAAACTTTATTACCAATTTCTGCACTTTTTGCTCCTTACCTGCGAAAGAGCTAGACCTACTTTTACCAAGAACTAATCAGCACGTCTCTTTATCAATAGGAATCGAATGATGTTTTATAACTCGGTTGACCGGTGCTCCAGAAAAGCTATGCCAAAATGATCAAAAATCTCTAAATAGAAAAGAAGTTTTTTTTTGAATGAATAGCATTTCTACTCCTAATTAAATATTTATACAATTGAAGATATTCTAAATTACTGCAAGATTATCAAAATATTCAAAAGTTTATAATAATTTTTAAAAAATGCGGTTTTGTTAGTTGATAATATGTATATGTGTCCACTTACAAATTTTTTGTAATGTTGTTTTTCTCTCAATTAGGAGACCTTTATTTCAGTTTTTGATTTCAAAAAAATCTTATGCTTTAAATTTTATATCATATTATACTATTATTCAAACAGTGTATCCAATTTATTTTTAAATGTATTATCATTAATTTATTTTGAATTACTTTGTTACAAATTAATTAATCCTAATTTATTTCTTATAGATTTATATGTTTCAAGTTGAAAATTGAGTATATAACTCTCAACTTAAATTGTACTAAATGTATATAATTTTCGTGACAAGAAATACCTACGTTCAGCTAAGGTAATTAGCACATTGCAAACATGAATTACTTCCTAGCGTTTGCAGGTATGCTTCAAGAATTTCTCAAAACTTTTAATGTTTACAAAGTATATTGTGCGAATACGTAATGACTTTAATTATTGTATTCTCTAGTCAAAATTGACTATAGAAGAAGTTTTAATTAATGTTTTAGTGCTTATATCGTACTGCAGAGTACTTTCTCTAAAGATTTCATTAAGAAATTATGTGCTACAGTCTCACATATGTAAGAATTAAAAATGTAAGTTTGATGATGATAATTCACATCTATTATTTCAAGATTCGGTAATACCGTATGCATAATTTCAATTTCTGTTGAGTATAAATATTTCTGACGTTTTTCAAATTGTCATATCAAATTTTTTTTATAAATTTTTTTAACTATTTTCAAGAAGTTCCTTCAATTCTGATCAATCAGTTATTCTCGGAGTTGATATTGATTAATTAATTAATTTTTGAAATTTATTTTTAATGGGACCTTCAATTTTGTTCATCATATACCTAATATTATTTATTTTCCTGGACAATGTACACATTGTTAATTTAGATTGATTATTTTTAAATATTTATATGTTAAACCTAAATTTATTATCTTTATTGCAAGAACATTTTTAGGAGTAAAATACTATGACAGACAGGACAGACGAAGATTTTAGCAAGTTCGATGAAATATAAGATCAGTCCAATTCATTAAATTTTATATGAAGTCAGTAATGTGTTTTTCTATTGAAATGAATAAAATAGGCAGTATGAAAAGAAATTATAGAAATCACTTGACAACATTCTCACTTAGAGAAATGTACAATACAAAATTTTACATTTATTTCTATCATCGATAGATAAATAGGTAACATATTTTGAAAGTATTATACATACTTCATAAAATATTATACATACATTTAACTTGACATCTTGTGAAGATATAGTAGTTTGTGAAGATACATAAACCCGCGTTTTACAGATGTGATAAAATCAAGATAAATATTATAAACAACAAACATGAGCGTTGTGCTAATAATTGTGGTAAAAAAGAAAAGGTGTAACATTTTTTAGGAAAAATTACAGAACAATAATTCAATAGTTCGAATTTTCTTAGTGGTTGCTCCCAGGTTGTAGTTTGGCATGGCGTGTTTGCCATACCACACTATTTCTGTCGTGGATTGGCCAAATTCATTACCAATTTCTGAATCACAATTCATATTTAGAAATTAAGCTTTAAAAAATACTAACAGTTGCTAAATAGATATATAAAATTAAAATTAATTCTACAGTTTTAATAATATTTGCTGGTCATGCTTAATTTTGATTGAAATGTTTGTGATAAAAATATCTTCACACTTCTTATGAATTAACACTTGTTTTTCGTGTAGGAATTTAGTAACAGAATACAATTATGGCAAAGTATAAGATCAATATAAACTAGTAATGCATGGCATCGTGCCTTAAGGCAAATTGCTGGAACTGCCCGTACCGTAATAAAATATTCGAAAAAATTAAATGATTTGAATAATTAAATAATTTGAAATAGATTATTATAAATACTGTAACTTTTCTTATTCGTATTTGAATAATAATATATAAGAAATTATAAATTGGACGACGATGTTTATATATGTATACATTTTTTTTGTCAATCAAAACTTTATTAAAGTAAATACAAAAATATAAATGTAAATAATATATGTAATACATGAAAACAAAACTGGATCAAGCGGAGTTAAAATGAAAAAAAAAATCTTATATTTATAAGAATTATTGAATTTTAATTATAATTATTTTATACATACAATATCAAATTATTTTTCATACCAACTACTAATACCTGTCATTTATTTTTTTATTCTTTTATATAAACATCGACGAAAGCATCTGAGATAATTCATAAAATTGAATATAAATAATTAAAACTAATTATAAGATCAATGGTAAAAAGAATAAAAACTTATATTAAAACGATTCAATCACTGAATAATTCAGCTCATAATTGCTTTATCTTTCAAAATTTAATCAATTTTATTACACAATTCATTCATTCGTATTCCGACATCTTCAGTATATTTTATTTGAACTTTTACGAGTGAGTACTTGACTTCCTTTGGCTTTCAATTGACAGCATTCGTTTGTACCGAGAGGCAATTATAGTCTTGTTATTTTTAAATATTTTCATCTCGACGCGACAGTTGCAAAGAAAATATAGAATTTCATTGCAGCTGGAAAGATCAGTGGCATACGAATAAGTTAAAATTAAGAAAAATAAAGTAGAAT